ATATACATTTAATATGCAAAGTATGAACAGTTAATTAATCAAACGTTTTGTTTGAAATGGAGATGAAGAACGTTATTATGTTTTATCTTAAATCAAAACATCTTAAATTTGAGTAATTTTGTTACAAAGGGTGTCAGCATTTATGACTCCAATACTATGAAAGTATATTTCATGGTTGGTATCATAGATAGTGTACTTTTCAGTTATATATAAATTTGATCAAATTTAAGATAAAATAAAGTAACTTTGTTTTTATCTTCTCTTAATGAATTATGTGCTCAAGCACAATCGCTTAAAATAAAAGGAACTTGTTTTATGGGACAAAGGGGCAGCGGAAACATATATATATAAAGATTGCTAGCTCCTTTAAAATATCAGCATATCTCCTAGGCAATCTAGTACACATCGTCACGAACGTAGGCTCCAAAGCCTTCCTGTCTGAACAGTAATAAATTTAGCAACTCGTGACAAAAAAAAAATTTACTGAATGCATTGTTTTTTTCATAATAAGGTACTAAAAAATGCAATGTTAACTAAGGAGCCTTAATATGCATGGTTGATGTACTGTATAATGAATCATCAGCTTCTTGATCACCAAATACAATAAGTAAATGAAAATGACACATAAATGTAATAATAGTACAGAAGTACATCTAGCTCTATTGATAAGTGATGCGCTAGGAAATATGATAAATCTTGGAAAATATGCATCCATAAATTTAGTATACCGACTCTAATCATCATCGGTGATATTAACTATTGGATTTTTTCCATTGTGAAAAAAGTTACCCTAAAATAGCTCCCTAATAAACCTACATACATACATATAAATGACCAGTGTCTACCCCGCTCATGCACACACGCCTTTGTAACTATTTTGTGCGATGATGCAATCAGTACAAGCAAATAAGATAAAGACCTATATAAATCATTGTCCCTGTGTACTCATTATATATACTGGTCTAACTGGTATATTCAATGCTTGTGTAGTCGATAACTAGGTATCTCAGTGTCATTCCTCTTGCGAAAGTACATATGTTGGTTACAAGATTAGCGACAGAGAAAGGGTAAGCTCGCTACAAGAGATAGTAGTATAATAATAATAGGATAGGAGGAGGAGGAGTAGCTAATCAACAAGAGCAAAGAAGTCTTATAAAAAAACAAGAGCAAGAAGCACGGCATACCAATAAGGGCCTGTTTGGTTGATGACCAAAACTTGCCACGCCTAACCTTCGGTAAACTGTCGCTGCCATAGAAAGTGTGGCGAGCAAAATCAAAGCCAAACTTGTTGTAAGTTTTGGCACGAAAATAAATCTATGACATGTGGGGCAGGGTGCTAGGAAAATTTGGCGTGCCATAGCTGTGGAAGTGAACCAAACAGCTGCCGAAAAAACTATGGCATGACCAATCTTTTGACATGGCAAGCTTTGGTCTCCATCCAAACACACCTTTAACTTACTAGCCTTGGGCCTTGCCAGTTGCCACCACCTCAGACCACTGCGCTGCGTTGGAGCTGGAGCGGGAGGCCGGGAAAGAGTACAACATGCGGCTTCCCGCGGACTTGTAGATCGCAATTCGCAAGAGCTGAAGAAAGGACAAAAATGGCAGGAGAAGAAACGAAGAAAGTGGCATGCAGACTTTTTTTTCTTTTTTGAAGGTCACCGGGGGTGAGAGGATCCCCACCTGAATACCGTTATTGATTGATCAGTGCCCTTAGGCAAAATGTTATAGATTACATAGTTTCACACCTTTGGCAAGCACTGTGATAGATTAAATTACATGGCACTTGCAAAAACACCAATCCAGGAATCAGCAAGGTTGACGTCTCGCTTTGGTAGGCGCAGCTTCCACAATTTGACCTCTTCCATGCAACATCGAAGTAGTTGCCTGATACTTTGCCTTTCCGATCTGAAGATGACGCCATTTCGGCGTTTCCAAACTTGCCAGCAACAGAGTGCCACGAACGTATAAAAATGTTTTTGCGGGATGGTGGCTGGCCGTTGAATGTTGTGCAACTGGCTTATCAATCCAGCATTATCTGAAGGAAACTGAAATCCAATTGAGACCCAAAATTCTTTTGTAAACGGGCATTCCAGGATAACATGTTCTGCCGTCTCATCTGCCTGACCGCACACTTCACAGACTGCATTATCCAGCACCTTCTTACGCATCAGGTTGGTTCTACATTGGATCTTGCTTTGCATGAGTAGCCAGATGAAGAACTGAACTCTTTTCGGTGCACGGCTGTCCCAAACAAAATTTGCGGCCGGATGCGGACTTCCATCACGAGACTTGAGTAATCTGTAAAGTCCTCCTGAATCAAACTTGCCATTTGGAAGACAGAAGGCTCCAGTTCGATCATCCGGCGTTCCTTGAAGCTGGGTCTCGACTATTATCTTACGCACCTCTGTAAGCTCAGCTTGTGCTTGCAGCGATAAGCGATCGACAAAGATACCCGGGCTGTCAATTCCCAAGGTACAGACCTTTGCCACCGAAAGCTTCGTCTTGACACAGTGACTGTATAGTGCCGGAAAACGATCCATCAAGGCCGCCTTATTAACCCAAGCATCATGCCAGAACGAAATCTGAGCGCCATCGCCAATGGTGACCGTGGTGACTGCTTGGTAAAGGGGAAGCAACGTCCGCAGCACATCCCAGTGAGGTCCACATAGATCACCCTCTAAAGAGGCAAGACAGGCGTGTTCCCTAACCCAGGTCGCCCAAGCTGATCCATTTGCAACATGTAGTCGGTGAAGAAGTTTTATGAGCAGGCAGACATTCATCAGTCCCAAATCCTTGATCCCAAGACCGCCATGGTCGCGACTCCAGCAGACCCGCTCCCTGGCTACCGGGCTCTGTGATCCGGTCAAAGAGCGCTCTCCACTCCAAAGGAATGAAAGTCCGCGCTGATCCATTTGAGCAATGATTCCTGGCGGTAACGGGAGGGCACACATAGCATAGATCAACTGAGAGTCCAGCACGGAGTTAACCAGAACAGCTCTGCCCATGACAATGAGAAGTGCAGATTGCCAACCTGCCAAGTATCGGTCTGTTTTTGCAATGTATGGGGAGTATGCAGGCAGGGAGAGCTTATTTACTGACAAAGGTAATCCGAGGTAAACCTGCGGGAAGCTTTCACGTTTACATCCAAGGATGGAAGTGCATTGTTGTGCTGTATTCTCGACCAGATGAATTTACACTGCCGTAGTCTTGCTGTAGTTAATTTGAAGCCCAGTGGCAGCCGCGAAGTCATCAAGAATCCACTTTCAGACATTGGACATCCTCTGTATCCCCACGAATGACAATGAGTGTGTCATCCGCGTACCGGAGGACTGGGCACGGTTGTCCAAATGATAACGGGTGTCTGACGGAGTTCGCATTGGCCTTGATCATTTGCTGAAGCACATCTGCCACAATTAAGAACAGATATGGAGAAAGGGGGTCACCCTGACGCAGGCCCCTCTTGCAGGTGATCCAAGGGCCGGGACAACCACTGCCGACCGAGATGATTCCAGAAGGGCATGGTTGCCCAGTGGACGTCAGGTGGCATGCAGACTTCGCAGGGAAACAGAAACGAAACCGCCCTGTGAATTTGAATTCTAAAAACAAGGAGACGCGGCGCCGCGAGGAAAGGGACAAGGAAAGATATTCCGAGGCCGAGGACGTCCACGTCCCGCCGTCCCGGCATCGTCTTCCTCGCCTTGGCCCTTGGGATACTCATGCTGTATCATATATATATATAGAAGTGTACTCCGTACAATGAAGGATTTTTTCTTGCTAGTTTATTTATAAGATACTTCTTCTTAGATTTCTAGAGCTGTCTTAAGTCAAACTTTTTAAACCTTAACTGAATTTCTAGAAAAAAAAACATTAAGATCTATGGTATCAAATTAGTATCATTAGATTTACTATAGAATATATTTTTATCAAGTGCTCATTTTATGACATTGATGTTGTTTTTCATTTCTATAAAGTTGATCAAACTTAAAATAGGTTGACTAGCACGGATTCTAAAAATTGGTTTATTCCGGAGTACTAGTTTATTTATATATAAAATACGGTGCAAACAATCAGCAGGCCGGGATGGCACTGGCACCAATGGTTTAAGCCACGGTCTGTTTGATCTCGTTCTCTAAACTTTTAGAGTTAAAATCGGCTCTAAACTTCAGCTCATCTTACATTAGAGCCTTAGATCTCAAAACTGAGTTAAAGTGCTTTAAATTTTTAGAGCTCTAGAGTTTAGAGGGGATATTAGTAGTATTACACAAGCGACCGTACTACTATTACAAAGCACACACGACCACAATGGCAAATCAGCCCTGACTCCTGACCAATAATCAGCCAGCTGCGCTGTGCAGAGCTGCAAGGCTTTTCCATTGAACACCCGGCCCTCATGGGCTGAGTTTGGCCCATTGAGAGGCCTTTGTTTCGGTGCTTGGCCTTGCAGGACGACCTCCCTCGAAAACAGCACGAAAACAGCACTGCTGATGGTTGCCATGTTCGCTCCATGGCTAAAAGTACCCTCGACTGATTTGTTGTGAGAGAAAAATACTATTCATTGACTAAAAAGAAAAATACTATTCATTGACTAAAAAAGTATGACTTATAAGCCAAGTGAACGGGGCGGCGGATACTGAAAGCACCGAGCAATACTTCCCAGGGATTATACAACGGATTCGTATAACAAGCACCTATACATAAATGGAAAAAAAAGAATAGTAACAGTCCATGAAAGCAGTAACTATAATTCACACTTTGATAACATCGACTGATGCAACCTCTCTCTCTCTCTCTCCTTTTATTTATACATCATGACGAGGGGTTCCTTTCACAATTCATTCACACACGACTACTGTCACACACAACTACTGTTACTAGGTATGTTCGACCAGACTGATGTTACAAAGCACACACAACCACAACGTCCACACTAGCAAACAAGTCCTCACAAACCAGTACACACAAACAGTTATCATATCATATACCAAGCATAGTAGATTTCACACCAGACCAGGGGACACGGGAGATACTTGAACGGAGGAGGATACCGAGATGAAGGGGGGCAGCAGACCACGAACTCTTGCATTACAGCCAGCTGCGCTGCGCAGAGCCAAAGGGCTTCTCCAAATTTTTCCAGTAGCGAGGGGCAGAGGTACTGGCATCAACGTTGTTGGCCGGCTTCTTCCCGAGTCCCACACCACCATCCAGCATGATGGGCATAAAGTTCCCCCCATGCACCCGGCCTTCATGGGCTGAGGCCGCCACATGGCGAGGAGGAGCCTCCACCGTGTGCATGAAGAAGCTGCGCATGCTTGTTTCAGTGCCAGGAGAGCCATCTCCCTCAGAAAGGGGGCAGCACTGACGATGCTGAAACCACCAAACGACACCCCCCCGTGGACACTGTTGTCATCCACCAGCAGGCTGTGTTGATCGCATAGCCCTTTTTTGCCTCTTGCCAGACGGTCGCAAGGAGCACCGCCTGATCCGAGGTCTGAACCCGGATGTCCCCATGAGCAGCGCCTGCCTCCACCGTGTGACTTGCAGAAGTCAGTGCTTCCCTGCGCGCTCTTTCCACAGCCAGCGAAGTGGCATCGCTTGCCCCCACCATGGCCAACACAACGGTCCGTCCGGCCTCTTGCGCTCTTCCTGCATCCTTCAACCGCGCACCTCTTCCCACCTCCATGCGCGACGCAGAACTGGGTCCCACCATGCACGCTCTTTGTGCAGCCGTCGGCTGAACAACGCTTGCCGCCTCCATGTGCTTTGCAGAATGGCGTGCTTCCCTCTGCACCCTTGGAACAGTCAGGGTGTGTGCATCTCTTGCCGCCACCATGGGCTTTGCAGAAATTGGTGCTGCCCTGAGCTCCCTTCCCGCAGCCATCATACTGACAGCGGCGCCCACCGCCATGAGCAATGCACATGCCTGACCGCCCTTCGGCGCTCTTTGTGCAGTTTGGCTTTTGGCACCTCTTCCCACCACCATGCTTGATACAGAGGCCCGATTTGCCTCGTGCTGCCCTTTTGCACCCTTCATGACTGCAACGCCGCCCGCCGCCATGGGCTATGCAGAAATCAGTCCGGCCTTCGGCACTTTTGGTACATCCAAGGTGTTCACAGCGCTTCCCCCCTCCATGGGCTTTACAGAAGATGGTCTTGCCCTCAGCTCCTTTGTTGCAGCCTTCCTTTTGGCACCTTCTACCCCCACCGTGGGCAATGCACCGCCCGGATGAACCCCTGGCTCCTTTTGTACAACCTGGCTGTGAACAGATTTTCGTGCTACTGTTGCATTGCTGTGAACGGACAAACCCAGAAGAAGAGGCAGCTGAACTTTTTGGCAGTTGGAGCACTGTTGGCGCTGAAGGAGCTGGACCTTGAACCTGATTAGAGTTAACTGGGAACGCTTGGCTCAGAGAAATCCCTGCCCGGTTAAGAAAGGAACTCACCATGCCTCCAGATGAATGTCGAGCAGATGTAGATCCTTCATCAACTGTTGGCACTGAGGACATCAAGTACGGATGCACAAACATGTCCTGAGGTGCATTGCTTCTAATTAGATCTGCATCAGTTACATCGGACTGAGATGGAGCCAATGATAACTTAAGATCCAACCGAGGCTTCTCCATAGTCCTTTTAGAATCACAAGCCTGTTTATGCAGCTTGGAAGTACCTTCATTGCCAAGAGATAACTTAAAACTTATGTCGTAGTCCATACATGAGGCATCATCGCTTCCCTTGGCAGAAGAAACAGTGCATCCAGTACCCATGCTCTGCTTGCTGCAGTCTGAGCTTGATGAGTCACCCAGACCTAGAGCCAACTCAGTCCACTTTCTCTTGCAACCTCTAGGAGCTAGCACATCAAGTTGGCTAGAACCAGCTGCTGGATAACTGACGGCTGGAATGGCAGTGCGCTGATTTGCAAAGCCATTTGGATTTGAGAAACTTATAGTGAATGCTGAACGCCCGTGCCTGGGTTCCATTGCTCCTAGAGTAACCAAACTTTATGGGAAGTACCAGCTGGCCTCACTTCTGGGTTAAATAATTGTCAACAAAGCTACCAAGTTAGAAGATCTAGAGAAATTAGTAGGCTTCATTATTTTTTGCACCCTCCACTGACAAACCCTGAAGTATCCCTACGATCCATTATCCAGTGTTGTATGTGAAGTGATGCTATTTAATCACAAGCTGACAACAGTGCTACACTTGTAAGTCTCCAGCCAGAACTCTCATCCAACGAAATGACTGAATCTCTGCAGGAAGTGAACAGAACACAGATGAGATCAGTTCTCATTGGGCAAACCCAGTGCCGGAGGCTCCCACATGAGTGGAGTCTGGGGAAGGGAAAAACCGAGGCAAGCCTTCCCCCCGCAAATCTGCGGAGAGGCTGCTTTGAACCCACGACCTGGTGACTCAGTGAGACAGCTCTCACCACTGCACCAGGCCTGCCCTTCAGATCAGTTCTCATTGAGTTAAAATAATTATGAAGAAAAGAAATAATGTATAAAGACTGTAAGAAATATGCAACAAATAGAAACACGTGATACAGCTGAAAAGAAATTGGGTATCACAGTGCATTCAGTTCCATATCTGTAATCAATGTTGACTCTTCATATATGTCATTGGCAAGAATAGAAGGAAGAAAATCTTGTATGCGAAAATGCAATCTTATATTCTTACTGCTCAACCAGAGTTCAACAATAAAAGGTCAGGACGGAAGTCATACTACATAGCCAAAATAATTAACAAGATTGAGGAGTTCAATCATGCCCAGAAAATAGAGCAAGCGACAAAGTCCAGAGTGTGGTCTAAATAGTTGGGAGCTCTTAGTGAGTTCGAACCCAACGTGGCTTCCAAATGGTTTATACTAAAAATTGAAAATAAAAAACTCAGCATGCAATGTTATGATAAAGAAAGGCGCAAAGCTAAACAACTCAAAATTGTTCCATATGAGACCATACTGCTAAGAGTTGAATCACTGCTAATTTGCGTTGGAAAAATGATCTCGGGCTCATAGATAGGATCATAGGAATGGTCCAATATTCAGACTGTTGCTCCAGCCCAGTCAAGGGGAGCGCGTAGCTCCTGTATATGTCGCAATCAAGGGCACCCTGAACCAACCGATGGCTGGCCCCCCATCACACAGTACCAATAAGAGGGACAGCTCACACCCAAGGGAACCAATGTTCCTAGGGGATTAGCTAGCCTAACAAACCTCCTAGGATCCGATCTAAGTGGTGCTGCAAGTGACAGGAAGGGCACTGTGAACACCACCATTGGCCGCTGATCTCTACTTCCTTTTTTCTCCCGCAGGAGATCTCTACTTCCTCACCAGTGTTCAAGAGGATGCATTGGTGTCCAGAATGGGCCACCATCAAGATCAACTACCTATGGCAAGTTATGGTTAGATCTTTCGTCCACTCCACCTAAGATCAGATAATTTGAACTTCCAAAAATTTACAGGAAGTCAAGTGGCCAAGTGCTACCTGATAAGAACAAAACAAAACCCACAGGCACCATAAACCGTTGCACAGCATATACTAAGTAGATACTAAGTTTCTGCCATAAAAAGTGGCAGAATTTTGAAGTTTATGAGCCTTACCAGTAATAATCAAACAGCAGCAGACCACAATTACTTAAAAGCTGATTGCCCTAATTCCCAGCAAATGTGCCTGCAAAATGAACACAGAAGCTAAAATCTCATCATGCATGCCACAGTTTGCAACTTTGTATCAGGAACAAGAATATCAACATGTCTCGATCACTGCAAAAAGTAAGAACCAGAATATATCTGAAGTGGGTCTATCGGGCTGTGTTATTTTTTTAGAGACAGACCATATTAATATAGGACAGGAATATTCTAGGTTCATCTCAATCCGAACGAGCAAAATGGAACTTGGTTTCAATTCACCAGACAAATCCATCAAGACAATTTTAAATGATGCCTAATGATACCCTCGTATGCCTTTCATGAGCAAAAGCAACAACAAAGAAAGATATTGAACATATCTTAAACTATGAGAGAGGAGGTCAGAAGATTCACTGGAAAGGTACAGTCGAATGAGCAGAGCTTTTTACTCCGCTGAACTTGCAAAGGGAAACCAGCCTGCCTTGTTCGTTTGATCCAAAAGGGGGGGCTTTTAGGGAATTTAATCCCCCTCCAATCCCCTTGGTTTTGGGATCAAACGAACAAGAAGGGGGAGGGAGAGTGAGAGAACGAAAACAGGAAAGATCCATGTGTGAAATTTTAGTTACGATCCTGCAGCTTTCTTTACATTAACATTAGTGTATACCTACACTACAGGTGATCAACTAGGGAGCAAACCAACCATGCATTCTTCTTCCAAAGATACTATATTTTTCATAAATGTAACTTTGTGGTCGTTAAGATTAGATAAATGTAACTTTCTAGTCATCAAGATTCAGATTTTTTATCAAGCACAACTTAGTGAAGCTTTTCTACACCTTCTCCACACAAAGCAAATAAACAATGGATGGGAATTCACAGTTCAGAGGCAGACTCTAGCCCAAGGTAAGAGGGAATATGCATGATTTCACTAAGACAACGAATTGAAAATCTCCTCAGTGCATACATGAACCCCCAAAATGAGACAGAAGCTCCAGCTCGATTCAGGATCCTCTCCTCTCACCTAGGCCCAGACACCACCAAAGATCTGACTCAGAACGGTTCCCCGGATTAAAAAAAAACAGACACGCACGCAGCTCCACTAACAAGTGTCCAATTTCGTGTACACACCTCGCCTCATCAACCGCAAGGACACGGGTTGAGCTAACAGCTGAACGATCTCGCAAGTTCTCCAGGGGCAAACGAGCTAATCCAGCAAACGAAGGGTGGGCTCACTACAAAGACAATAAAACTAGAAGGCCATTCCAACCTTCCACCTTGCACGTCTCCGGAACACTGCGCCGGAGCTGGGAAGGATCGACTTGTTGCCAAGGAAGGTTTAAATAGAGGCCACCTGCGGTGCCACCCCCACCCAGCGACAAGAACAAGAACTAAAAATAATAATCGTAATTCGTGAAAGCAAGCACGGACGAAACCGCGGGGGCAACAAGAAGAGAAATTTCCGCGCAAACTTCGCTACGAGGACGAAAACGAAATCGTCGGTACTCGGTAAAATACGACGACGCCGGCCGAGAGGCGGCGCGCGCCACGAGGGAAGGGGAGGAGAGCGAAGGAGATACCTAGGCGGCGGCGGGGCGTTCGGGTCGTCGCCGTCGTCCACGCCTCGGCTGTCCGCGTCGCGGCGGAGCGCAGGAGGGAGGGAGAGAGTAGGGGAGAAAGCGAGAGGCGGTGATGCGATGCGCGATGGGATGCCGGAGGGACGAGGAGAAATGGAGCAGAGAGGTGCTGAGGTGAGTTTCGTCTCCTTGGGCAGCGCTTGTTGCCAAGTTTGTTTGGATTTTAGCAGGAATGACCCCTTAATAATTTTAATCGAACATCCATCCATTTTGAAGAAGCTTTTTTGACATCCAAGATCAGAGGGGGGAAAATGGATATAACTATTCATGGAAATTCATAGGAATAGAAATCTAAGGAAAAAACTAAAAATAGAAAGAGAAGTAGAGAATTAAGGTTTCAAACAAACAAGCCCAACCCGTAGTTGTGCGTGTTTTCCGTATTTTTCGATATAGCAAATTCGGTTCATGCTTGTCTTGTTGTATATAAAAAAGTCTCGATCGCCCCTCGCGGCTCCCTTAGTAGTTGTTGTCGTCTTTCTCCCTCCTCCTCCTCCTCTCTCTCTCTCCTTATCGACGACCTCATTGACGACTAGACGAGTGAGCCTCACACTTCCGTAGATTTAGTTTTTGTTGATCATTGTTTCATCTAGAGTTTGATCAGCCTCTCCTTACCTTGACGATGTATAATCTAGCACATGCAAAGGGTCCATGAGAGTTTGTTCTAATCATATATGTTGGTTCTCTTCAAATCTTGATAGTTCATATGTTTATCAAAGTATGCGATTGATTAGCTTTTGGTGTGGCCATTTTGACCCGGTTGGTTTATTCTATGGAAAATTTGTTTGCTCCACACTATGTTCTAGTGGTAAAGGACCTTAAGCCTGCATTTCTTAGGGATTCCTCCAGCCACTGTTCTTTCAGTCGGTACTACATCTCATACAGACAAATGCCTTAGTAGTCTTCAGAGTCTTGTACGGTGAGGGTGGTTTGCAGGTGTATCTTTCCCTTGCTGTGTTTTAAGGGTAATTTTTAAGCTCTAACAAGATCGATTCTTGAGGTTCTATTCTTTTTAGGTGTCACTCTGTATAAGTTGTATCTCTTTTTAGTAGCGGTTGTTTTTTTAATGAACATTAGATATGAGGTACCATTTCGAGTATATTTATTAAAGAAAATCAACCCGCATCATTCATGAGGGTGATAGTATTATTTTAGCTTGTAGACTATGGACTACAACTTGCAAATTGCTATAATCTAAGCTGGGGAAATAGTGTATTAGATTATAAGTAATATGGCATGTGGATTGATATAATCTAGAACATATTTATTCCACTTTCATTTTGTACGTCCTCTCACCACTTAATTAGAGATCAAACACAAGGTTTGATGTCTTGTATCTCACTAATTTGGGTATTTCTTTTAACAGTAGCTAACATGTCTACTAATTTCGAGTAAGGTGCTCATAATGGTAGAATGGTCATGCAAACATTAGTATGCACTCTATTTTGCAAGAGGAAAAAACCCACACGTCCTATAATGTGAAATTAAAGAAGATATCTTGATTATACCATTGCCGCACAAAGAGATTACCTCAAAAGCCAAAAGTTTAAAGAAAAATAACCTAGAGGACCCAAAAAATAATAATATGATGAATAAGAACGACTTTGCATTTTGGGAAGTACTCTTGCCGTTTAAATTACAGTCCACCTTATTCTATCCTAAATTAAATTTAAATGTGTTTTTTAAAATACATTGAATATAAAAGGACAAATATTTTTTTATCAAAATATGCCGCATTAAAAATCAAATAAAACAAAACTATATGTTCTAGATGTTGGTGAATTTTCTAAGAGTTTAATTAAAGTTAAAAAAGTTTGAATTGAGACGAACGTAATAGTGAAAAATGACTACATTTTAACCATAGGAGAATATTTGTAATTCATGGATGGAGCCTCTTACAAGAAAAGGCAAAGGACGACGTTTTGAAATATTGGTGAAACATGTAATATACCTGCATATGGAAATTTGTATTGAGGCAACGGAGGTTTTGAACAATGTTTTATGTCCAAAATGCAAGTAGACTCCGTAGCACAAGTGTATAGGTTACACTTGATGTTAAATTGATTTACGTAAATCTGTAACTGAAAGTAAGGGAGAATATTAAAAAAATATATGCGTGGATCGAAAAGAAAAGAGAATCTGTGGATGTCCTGGTCCGCAAATCTGACATCCGTCAGGGACCTTACAGCAAAAGTCTACTCGACCGAACGAAGCCGCTTGGAAGGAACCAAAAACGTGCGCATGCGCGGCATGGCCCCTGCTGCGATAGGCGGCGCACCTCACGCCACCGCCCACCCTCGCACCCACGCACTGGCGCGTGGGTCCAAGGACCCACGATGCCCCGCACGTCAGTGGCGTCTGTCCACTCAGACGGATCACGGAAGCAGGACGTGGAACGCGGCCCGTCACTGGTGAGTGGTGACGCGACCCGCTGTGGCCGGTGGCCGCTGCCTGGGACTGGGATTGTGTTGTGCGCGGGCCCCGCGGCGCCGAGGCGGGCGGGCGGCGGCGCCCTTGGTTTTTGCCACGAGAGGACAGAGGAGGGGGAGTGGGTCCCGGCTGACGTGTCGGCCTCCTTCCCCGCTGTGATCTCCGTGACCGTGACCTGACCTGTGAGGCTCACTCACCCAATAGGAGCGCTGGGATTCCGGTATTTTATTTTTATTTTCACCATGGCGGTCTGCATCAACAATCAATGCAATTTAAATTTAAACAAACAATCGAAGGAAGCAAACTTCTCCTTGTGGTCGCGAAAAACAAGTAGAGAAATCGTCCAATGTCCGGAGGGATGAAATTGAGAATAATTACCAACCAGGTGTCTTGTCTTTGCTTGCTGCGTTGCATTGCTGTGTAATTACTATTAATTACGGAGTACTACATAAACTAAACAAAACAACGTCGTCATGCATCGCATCCTAGTTGGATTCGATTCGACGAGTCTCGCCAAGCAGGGCAGCGTCTTTTTCTGCCCAAGTCTGGTTGAACCGTTCGGTGACGCACACGCACGGACCTCACGCTTTTCAGTGAGGTGAATGCATTAACGAAGGATGACAAGGGCCATGATGCGCAGGTTATGTTTGTAAATTAGCAGTGTGGACGACCCGCTTTGGCTCCAGATTAGGCTCCAACCGAGCCTAATAAAAAAATTAATTAACCGCGCGGATCTCCCCACCCCAAACCACAATGGTCCCGTTCGGCTTGCTAAAACTGGTTAAAAACACTGTTCTGGCTAAATTGTTGTGAGAGAAAAACACTGTTCTGGCTGAAAAAATAAACTGGATAGTGACGTTTTTAAGATAAGCCGAACGAGGCCAATGCGTTTAGGTCGAGATAGATATCCATGTCAGGTCCCGTCCCTTATATTAATTAGCTTGCACACCAAAGATTGTTTACAGATATATACAATACACAACAAAGAGGCTGATCAGTGCTGATTCATATATACATGATGTCCCGTGTCCGTAGCGGAATACTCAAATTCAGATATATGATGATATCGATATTTATTCTGTTATATTTTATTCAACACACGATTGACGGTATTCGAATCTCAATCCGAAAAATGCTGTAGCTATATGTATTTGCATCCATAGAGATTCGTCTGTATCCAATTTGTTTACATTCCTAATTGTCAGTATGAAAAATAATAATAGTTCAATTTTAAATGTGTTGGCATGCCTGAGAATAAGTGATAGGAAGGGAGAGAAAAGGTTGCTATAGTTGCGCATTACTTGTATGATTGTATCTACTCGGACCTGAGAGTATCCAAACAAATCAACCATATATAGAGAAGAACTAGCAGGTAACCCCGCGCTTCGCGCGGGCAACAGTGGACGCATTGAGGGAAAAAATGGTACTGTTTCTTATCGGGTCGGATACTGTTCATCGTGTTCATTACTGTTCATCTACAATGATCTGAGTCCGTGTGCGCGCCAAATGAACAGCGATTCAGATGTGATAGTCCTCAAATTTATAGTCTTTTACTAGCGTGCGCCCCCACGCTTCGCGTGGAAAGGAGAGGAAAAGGAAAAATGGGTAAAAAAATGTACTGTTCATTATCGGGTGGGAACTGTTCGTCGTGAATCCAAAAAAATACGGTAATGTTCATCTACAGTGATATGTGAGGCGCGTCGGATGAACAGTAACCGCGACGTGACCCTCTTAAATTTATAGTCTTTTATAGATAGATAGATAAGGACAGACAATGGATGATGACAATATAATCACGCCACTATGAACAGATTCAATTCAACCTATAAAATAAAACAAATAAAAAATGGTTGGGGGGCAACGGCGCAATTGCCCAGGAAGAAAAGCGGATCCCGTGCGTGGCCTGTGGTGGCCGCTGGCGTTTCCCCGCCCGACGTGGAATCTACCCACGCCGTAGCATCAGCGTCCCCACGCGAGCTATGCAGTCGCCAGTCGCCAGTCGCCAGTCGCCAGTCGCCACGAGTAAACTATAGAGTGGTTCAACGTGGGAGACTGAGATCACATGCGCAAAAGATTGGCCGACGCGGGCAACGTTTTTCCCCGGGCGGATGTGGATGACCTGATGAGGAAAAACCAGCGGAAATTGCCGACGCACTCACGCAGCAAGACCTGACGTCTAGAGTCCAGGGCAGAGCAGCCAGCACCTTGGACTCTTGCAAAGAGCTGGATCTCTGCCGAGATTACGCAGGATTTTCAGAGACGACCTATAACACCAGGAAACACTCCTGTACTTCCCTGCAGTTAGAGGCGTGTTCGGCTCGGCTCGTTTCAGTTTATTCTCTTTCCCAGAACATTATTGAATCAGTCAAAACCAACCAAAACAAACTAGTACACAGTAGACAACCGTACCAAATTTTAACAGGCCTAGAATATCCCAGGTGTATACTCCCTCTGTCCAACAAAACATGCACCTATAAGTTACTTACCGACAAAAGTAGTTTAGATTTGACTAAATTTCTAGTGAATACTATTCACATTTATGACTCTAAATTAATTTATTAAAAAAATACATTTCGTAATGAATCTAATGATATTTATTTGATATCGTAAATATTAATATTTTTTTATCTATAATTAATCAAACTTGAGATATTAAACCATGACACTATGTTGACACTATGTTAGAATTATACATGTTTTTCTGGAGGGAGGGAGGAGTACCATGGATATTCCAGAGACATAAAAAAAAGGCTGGTCCATGTTGCTGATGGATGCCCCACCAAGCCCTAGCTCTAGCTCTGTCCTAGCAAAAAATCTTCTGATGGCGTCTGGCTAATCACCTGTCCAAAAACTTCTAAATATTTTTTTTGAGAAAAGTCCAAAAACTTCTAATGTACTCCAGCTTGACTGCGTTGACAAACCAACTAGTACCATGTACCAGATCGGGTAGATTTAGTAAAAGCAACTTGCTGATGTCCTCCAAGAAATTAAATTGACTAGTAGCGTTTTGGTCTCCGGCAAATGCATTCTCAAGAACCAATTTGTCTGAAGTTGGACAATGGATTATTGTATAGAACACAGATTGTAGAAGCAACCACTGGATGTAGATACCTGCATAGTTTATTCATGGGCTGTAGACCATTGGGCAGTATTACTTCTTACGATAAACCATATTTTCCAAAATCTGTTTCGAGCACTGTTTGATCACTAAAAACGCTGATGAAATAGTCTGCAGTTCCCAAAGTTACAATGTCTGCACTGTTTGGAACTCAAATCTACAAGTCTGCAAAACTTTAGTTACTTAAAAGTGTTTCAATCTGCAAGAACTCTATCCACCGTTCTCATGAGGTTCTCTCATTTGACAATATATATGAGAGTATACAACCTTCCTCAGAATTAACATGGTGGATTGGTGCCATCAAATTCAATTGTGGACCCTTAAACGGAATTGCATTTTTGCCTAGTTAAATCCAAATAAAATCCAAAACAACAATGAGACTTCACGATAGTGTCAACTATAACTAAAGTATTAGAGATACCTTTGTTAAGGACAAGCTTGCTTCACAAACTGCGCCCATTGCTTTAAACTCGGGTTGTCACAATCACTCAGTACCACCAATACAAATTAACAATTTTATGCGGTACCATGCAAACTGCCCAAATCAAGGCTAAAATAATGTCCAACTTGTAGTAAAAAGAAATCTCTTCTTTAGGAGTGGTCGTGTAATACAGCGGGCTAGCATACACAATTTGAAAAACAAAAAGAACAAGAATAGGATAGCTGATGGAACCACTGGTTGACTGGCAGCATTTGGAACACAAAAACAAGGTACATTTTGCTGAAAAGTGTTCCTTCCAGACAAAAAATGAAGAACAAAACTTGCATGCTACTGTACTACCAGCCGTTTTGTAACTACATGACTTACAATTTAGCTTAAGCTGCAGCAGGGTCAAGTATTGGGTCAGCAGGGTACTCTTCGTATCCACTTATGCCTGTGATTCTTAACCTTGTGTTTGGCTACAAAATAAAAGAAAATTGTAAATGTAGAATCAGTCCATCTTGAAGTATATGACATGTAAATTCCAATTCAGTTGTTGTCATTATGCTTCCAACTTTCATTAGGAATTGAGGATGTCACTGGAAGCGTACCTGTCTGTGACCAAGTTTCCTCTGGTACTTCTTCTTCTTCTTGAACTTGAAGACTATAACTTTATCATCCCGTCCCTGTGGATCAAATAATGGGTTTAGAAACAAGTGAGAATTCTGTATCCATCGTTTATCCAACAACATGCAGAAGACATGCCTGCTCTTCAACCACTGCGTGAACAGCAGCATTGGTCACCACTGGCATGCCAATGTAAGCTTTTTCTCTAGTTGACACCAGTAGCACCTTGTTTAATATGATCTGTAAATCAAGAATTATTGAGAAGTGAAAATTTCTATAAAATACAAATCAGTGCTGAGGAGTGAAAGTTTCTACAAAATACAAATTAATGGTCGACTAAATGAGGCTAATACATACACCAGAACAGAAGCACTGAACAGGCTCCCCAGGACATATTAATTAGTTTATATCAACGATAGGTAATGTATTTGCTACAACATACAAGTGCATCACAAACAAATACAAAAGATTCAAAGAGAAAACTACAATTTTGCACAACAGCTGAAATTTAAAATGTTACTATAATTACAGATTAACGATTCTTTTGCTTCTAGTACTACATCAATATCACATCAAATGATTACACAATGTCCTATGACAAGGCCCTGTTCGTTTCGCTGAAAAGCCAGGCTGAAAAGTACTGTTCGCTGATTTGTCGTGAGAGAGAAAAACACTGTACTATGGCTGATAAGCGAAGCTGATATGTATCACTGTTTTGGCATTACATAATTTGTTCTAGCACACTGAGTTAAAAGCAACGCAGTTGTAGTAGATTACGATTAACTCCTTTTCTTCCTCAAACCTATTTCATTACCCTTTCTGCTGATCTTCCTTAACATAACATGCATTCTTTGCATATGGACTTGGTATCAAATAAATAATGATACAAAAGTTGCCAGTGATCTTAGAACCTAATACCGCTTTCCTAGATAACGTCAAATGAAGAAAACATAATATCCTCCTAAAATCTTATCCACTCCTTATATTTATTCCTTAGTCATAATATCAATGTTTGTAAATCACCTAGTTGACTATAGTAGCCATGGCACTGACTAGGTGATTAGTCACGATTAGTTGTTGACCAGACCGATTAGTTGAGCCTAGTCGGTCCATATAGTCTGTATATTCCAGGACCTATATACTATATATGCTAGACTATAAAAGCAAGCAACAAGAGAATAAAAGCACTAGAGGAACAGATACTAGTGAGTTTTGATGGCACTAGAACAAGATCAAGAGTAGAGCATAGCAGCACAACAAGCATAGGATAAGGGGGCAATTGGGCAAGGCAAGAAGCAGATGGAGGACGTGAGGGACACACTCAACATCAAAGGGCAAGATCATCTTGGTAGTCCCCTGGAGCAGGAGTGCTGGAGCTCAGCGGCTACAACAGGGCCAGCGGCAGCTTGGATCAGGGAGCCACCAAGCTGCAGTACTTGTAAAATGCCGTCATAAGAGGAGGGAAGGGGACCGGCAGCGGCCTGAGGAAGGGATTCGGCGCTGGTGGAGGCAGGGAAGGGGATCCAGCACCGCCAGCTACTGCAGCTTGAAGCGTCGGAGTGGAGGGCGTGTGGCGGCTTGATTTCTGGCGGCGGCTCTTGTCTGTGTACTGGGCTAAATTGGCAGCCCAGTAACTTACCTTGAAGCCCAATTGTTTAGGCCCACCCAATGACTGCAACCAGCCTGGTCACCCCTTATCTAATTGGACGACTAATCGTGATTTATTGACCACTAATCAGACAACTAGGAACCTAGTCAACCTAATCGCCTCGGTGCGCCCAATCGAGTTCAAGCAACCAACTAGGGCGAGTAATCACTATTAGTCAGATGACTAACACTGCACCATTGACTCAGGTAAGCAGACAAGCAACAAACATAAAACCATTGCCACAAAGTTCCCGGGTCAATAAGGTCGAAGAACGTGGTACGCTACTTGCGAGAGGTTTTTACACTGCAGAGTCAATGTACCTGGGTCGGGGTCGACGTTCCTGGGTCGAGGGTCGATGCCTCCGACCCCGTTTATGTGACTATGCATAAAACCTGAGCTGATAGTACCATCATGGTGGAAATGTCTATGCATTTGCACCAGATGCATCGTATCATTTGGATCTAGGACTGTGAGCAGACGAACACTACAGACTAGAGGACAATGGTGGCTTTTCTCTGTGCTCACAACATATCAAAATCTGCAATGAGAAATTACCCTATCCACCATAACAACAGACATCTAGAGAGAAGGATGTATAGGTAATAGTTTTTGCAAGCTCTTAACAGTGTAATTTTGGCGAGCAATTGCTGCTACAAGGACACAAATGCATCAAGATAAGCAGAAGATTCTCCAAATGACTTCCATATCAAAAGAATTCCAGGAGGGAAACAATACAACATCTCACAGCCTACACTATCAGCTTGGAGTATGCAGACAGGTGAATCACCAAACCTGATCATTGACATTGGCACCTTTCAGTCTCTGTGTGTATATGTACCTGCCCGGCATCACAATGTATTGTCTTGAACCAATCTGTAATAAAAGAAAGCAGTCAGAATATATAAGTCTTCAGTCTTTTTTTTTTGCAAACTGCTCATTCGGACAAGAACACACAAACAATTGCCTGCTACGAGATACATTCTTGCATATTTCAGCATTTTGAAAAAAAAGGTAAAAATCAGTCAATGCAAGGCTACTAGTAAATAATCTGAAGCCCTGCAATTGTCAGCATCACTACGCAAGCACTGTGTGATCGAGCATTACTGTTAGTACTCACACCACCATCCTAGCCATTTTCCATGCAATGGAAGACATGCCTAACATTACAGGTAATGCAGCATAAATGAGGACATATCATTTTCAAGTAATTCAGTCCAAAGTTGCATCGTTGGAGGTACCAGAGGGAGCCAACCCACCATGACAACAGCGAAGATGTCGGCGTCCTTCCCGGCCCCCGCGGCGGCGAGCTGCGCCTCGACGGGCTCAGGTACCGCGGGTTCCTCCTCAGCCTCCACGAACTCAACCTCCACGGCCTCAGGCGACTCCTCGGCGGCGGCTCGGAGGCGCCAGCGCCGAGGCTCCACGGCGGAGACGGAGAGGGAGCGGCGCGCGGAGGGGAGAGTGGTGAGGGTCAGCGTTTTGGAGGGGAGGAGGCGGAGGGGCAGCGTCGCGGTGGCCATGGCCGCGGCGGGGAGGGGAGGCATGGATAACGAAGTAGTAGTGGTTTTCGGAGGAAGAGGAGGGCAGGGATAATATTGTGGATAGCAGGGGACAGCGGGCGATCCGATTGAAAGCCAACGGTTCAGATCAGTCAGGTTTGCTGTGGAGAAATATCGTATAACTAATTTGAAAACTACAGCAAAGCAACGTTTTGAAAACCATTTACAAAAACTTAGCTTAAAAAAAACATTTACACAAACTTGCTGGTTTGCGCTCCTCCACGCATCAGCGAGTGTCAACTTAATGGCAAGTTAACAGATTTAACACACATGAGAAATGCGAGCGAGGGGAGCAGCACGGTGCCTCAGCGAGTGCCAACTTAATGGCAAGTTAAGATTTTAACACCAATGGTAAGGGAATGCAAATTTAAAATAGTGAAATTTCAATGGTATTGAAGGAATCCATAGAAATTTTGGTGACAATAAGGGAATTTATTTTCAGAAAGAATAGGTATCCCAAATAGAGCTGTGTGTACCGAACTAAGTAAAGCCATAATCTATATAGTTACTATATATATATATATATATATATATATATATATATATATATATATATATATATATATATATATATATCCGTGGGGACAACAAACTTTTGCCCCACATTTATATTGACACATGGTTTGCAGCTAAGATAAAATCTACAAATATAATTATATATAGAAAACACAAAGCCCGTATCTTTTGGATGCCATCAAAAATTTTAGGCATTCTTCTATGTCATTGAAAATTAAGAGCCTATTTGGTAGGGCTCATATTAGAGAGGTATATCACTGTCATGAGAGAGAGAGTTTCCTTTCGGGAAGGGAACTCTATCGGATAGATATTCTTCCTTATAATCTCTAGTCTACGTATAACACTATAGGAAGATATACTTTCCTCCGGGAGAGGGAAGTATATCGATATGGATAGGGGGAAGGAAAGTCTATCGGATCCCTAGATATGGCATATGGTATGACACGAAAACCGTCTCGTATGTTCACTATCGGCCAAAAATCGGGTTTTTTGCCTTCTGGTGCCATACCATTAGGGCATTAACAAACATGCACTACAACGCCTGTTTGTTAATAACATTATTGGCTTGATTTCTTCTTAGAAGAAATGCCTGTGTGTTCACGTACGCACGTGTACACATACGTATGCGCGTGCGATCTATAGACGCGCACACGCGTACGCGTGTGTACTATTTACGCGCGCGCATAGAGGTTACCTAATAGCTATGGCAAGGAAAGAAGCAAGCGTCACAAACGTATTAAAAAAAGTAAATGTTCGAATTCACATGTTAGTTCAAGCTAAGACAAAACAAAGCGCTAAGACAGCTCGTGCTTTGGTTCCTCCAAAAATAGCTCCGGCTCTAGCTCCTCTGAAGGAGCTGGAGCCGTTCTGAAAACATTTGGTAAAACATTTCTTGTTTTCTGGAATGGATGAAAGATGACAAATGTCTGTAATACCCTTGACTTATTATTTTACTATGGTGTACATCTAGTTCAACCCAACCTAGAAAAAATGGTTTTACAATTTTTCGATACTTCTGTGATTTATTATGTATTTTACAAGTACCAAGCGATTTGATCCATTCTAGAAAAGTTGATTTTGCATTGAGAATCCTATTCTATTTGTAAATTATTAGAGTCATCAATTGTTTTCTTTTTCTTTTGTATTTTTACATTGGGAACTCTATCTTTTCTTCTATTCTTGCTGGTAGATCCTCGTCTTTCTGTGCTGATTTTTTATCTCAGGATTGTGCAGCGCCTGGCTAGGTGGGGGAGGCAATCGGCGGCCAACAGAAACGCCTAGCGGCGCATCTATATTTTGGAAATAGGAGGGAAGAGTTTCATCCCCATAGAAATACTCTCTACTTCATAGCCTGGGAGCTCATCTCTCTTCATCAATACGGTGTGGGGCACCGATAAGGCCCATGAAACCGTTGAAACCGTAGCTTGGGGCTTAGATATACGTATGCATGTGTAGGCTGGGAGCAATGCATCGTATGCACGAGGGCACTGGGCGGATCCGTTGTTATGCTTGGGGTGTTCCGTATGCATGTGAAGCCTGGGCGGTTCCATATGCATGTGGGCACACGAAAATCCTGTGAACGAAACCCCCTCTCTCTTTTTCTTTTTAGGTGATAATAGATCTTCGTTACAGAGCCTTTTTGGCAGGGCTCCTGTAGGGTTTTAGCTCCGGCTCCTACAGGAGCTGTGCCAAACGTCTGTTTTGAAAATGGTTTCGCATAGGGAGTCGATCAAGAGCCGGAGCCATTTTTTGTCTGCGCAGGAGAAGCCTAAAAAACGAGCTTCGCGCGTGGGTTCACATCATCTAGTGCGAAGGAGCCGTTTTGCCAAACGTTTTTCAGAACGGCTTCAGTTCCTCCAGAGGAGCTGCTCCTTCAGAGCCAGAGCCGAAGCCATTTTCAAGGAAGCAGAGCCCTGCCAAACAAGCCCATACTCGTGTACATCTGTTACTTTACTATCTAAAAAGCACTTAGACCTTTCGTCAAAAAAAAAAAATTGGTGTACGTGCCTCCGAGTATATTGTCGTGCCGTACGTGCCTCCGTGCCTCCGTGCCTCTTCGTTGATTGGGTTTGTTAAATCGTTGAACGGTGTCGAACAACCCTGTCCTTGATTTTTAATGGGTTAGATGTAGGAGATAATCTCTAAAAACACATAAAGAGAGTCATTAGAATCAAAAGTGCGTAGGAGTGACCATCTGAAAAAGAACATGATTAAGGCCCGTTTGAATTGAATTTCTCCAAGCAAATTAGGGGAATGTCTACTAATTAATAAACAACTACCAAAACAGTACTGTCACCGCCTTACAACTGGAACATCTAAAGATCAGAAGTATTGGCGGGAGTACCTGAGTAGACAGTCGGCGTGGTCTGCTAGTCGCCGTTTCCTGCGCATGACGTGCCTGCTCAGTTTTCTGTCCCAGTTATCGGCAGCAATCCGGAGACGCTCACGCGGCACGCCTGACAGTTGCACGTATGCTTTTTGTTCCCCTTTTTTTACCGGCGAGTAGAGTTATGGGTTTCGTTTATATTTTTGATCTGTCTTTTTTAACTTATTTTTTAAATCGAAATATTGTTTTTTTCACAATAAATCAGCCGGAATAATATTTCTATTTGTTTTTTTTAGCAAAACGAACGGAGCTTTATATACTGGGCGTACACGCACGGCAAGCTCTTTTTTTGGTATGGAGACGAGGAAGGTTGAGCCTGCAGTTCGATACAGATACGGATATACTACTCGGAATTTGACGGCCAGCTCTTTTGGTAGGGAGCCGAGGAAGGTTGGGCCTGGTTGGTACTGCAGTTCGATACGGATAGGAATTTGACGTAGGTGTGCAATGCAATATACTCGGAGGCAAGTACAGCACGGCAATATACTCGGAGGCACGGAGGCACGTACGGCACAGCAATATACTCGGAGGCACGTACACCAATTTTTTTGGACGAAAGGTCTACGTGCTTTTTAGATAGTACTCCCTCCATCCCAAATTGTAAGTCATTCCAAGAATCTTGGACCCTCCATCCCAAATTGTAAGTCATTCTAAGAATCTTGGAGAGTCAAACTTTTTCAAGTTTGACTAAAATTATAGAGAGAAACACAAAGATTGATGACATCAAATAGGTATAATATGAAAATATAACTAATGAAGAATCTAATGATACTTACTTGGTATGATAAATATTATTATTTTGTTATATAAATTTGGTCAAACAAAATTTTGAGAAACTTACAATTTGGGATGAGCCCACTAGAAACTTAGGCCTCAAGTTTTTGGCTTTGGCTTTTGGTCCCAAAAGCCAAAAGCCCAAAAAAGACTTTGGAGAAGTGCCTTTTATCTTTCATTTTTGAAAGATAGGTTGACCTGGCTTTTTTCGCCCTTTTGAAATTGGTGGAATAAAAGCTCTTCCATAGTTGTTTCAAGAGAGATAAATATAAAAGGTATATTTTAACTTGTTCCGACTTTTCATGTTCATCACCAAGAATACAAAGAGCTTTTTCCAGTACTCATGACCCACAAAGCAGACTTTTTTTCCCACAGCCACAACTCAACCAAACAGGGCCTTATGAGCCCACTAGCAACTTCAGCCTCAAGTTTTTCCAAGAGACCCCATTGAGGTATGGTTTCCCATGAGGAGCAAAGGGAGTTTAACGTCCTCATGTTCATCACCAAGAATGCTCAAGCCTCAGTACTGCATAGAAGGTGAATGTTGTTTGAAAATTGGAACGCTACATGAAGTGGTTGCAATATTAAAAAAATCTGAAATCTACAAAAATAGGGAAGTGGAGGAAGCAAAGTATGGGTCTTAGTCCGTAGGCTTGCTTTACGGAGGAGCTTGGTGGTAGTATTTAGAGCCTCATAGCAGAATTCAGGTTTATAGTTGATGACCATTGTGATGGCCTTTGAACCCTACATGTTGAAACATTCTAGGCTATTTTTTTAAAAAAACTCTAGTGACATTTTAAATAAAATTGCAAATCTTAAAGCAAAGTGCAACGAGGGAAATATTGTTACTGAATAAAGTAGTTTTGATGAGGGGGGAGGGTCTCACCTCATGGAGATCTAAAAGGTAGACATATCATCCCGTTGGATTTCATGGGTATGAGGATGGCTCTTCATCTCCCATCCCTGTTCCCCGCCTACCCACCATGCATATACGTGATTGAGCCTTTTGCTAAATATGTATGTGCTACCTTTGCTAAGCATTGTTACCGCCTTGCTTGCTATTCATTTATTTGGAATTGTTTATACTCAATTACTTATTTGTTATACACTAATAGTTGTTATTAATTAAATTTAGAACCGTCATATGTGATGTATCAATGCAAGGATGGTGATCCCCACGTGGATTAATTCCCCGTGCAGGGAAGGGGATGAGAAGAAAAGCTTTTTCCCGCAAGCTTTGGTGGGGAATAGGGATGAGAAGTTTTCTCCCCATGGGAACGGGGATGGGGTGCCATTCCCCGATGTGGAATTCTCCATTACCATCTGTAGTTTTGAACATTGTAAAAGAAAAGTATCTATAGACTAAAAATCCTATATGACCCATATCTCCAATGCAGACACCATCATAACCTACAACAGAAGTTTTCACAGGTTTAGCATCGTGATCCAACTTGCCGCCTTTCTCATCCAAATATCTCCTCAAAGCTCACCTCCAAAGGTGTGTTCCTATAATATCAACCATTACTTCGAACTACCATCACGGTGATTAGTTTCATACTTTTGTGTTCAGAACCAACATACTTGATCACTTGGCACTGGCTGCGACATTTCCTCTCGTGTGGCCTAAAGATTTTAGTATAATATTTTAAAATAGTAGAATATTAATCTATAATTATTTTAGTATAGATTTTCCATATCAATTGGCAACAACTATCGTGTTAAGATATGAAGTTTTCATTTAGGATCTGAAGTTTTATCATATAACCTGTTAATTACCCAAATGAATTATCAATAAAGCTAAACATCTATGTACAATCAAATTTTGTGAGTTTGCTATAGTTCTGAGAACAATTGAAAATTTGGATGTACTAGTTTAGGGCAGCATGCTTGTTTCTTAACTTGTTGGTTAAAATACAATGCCATATTAATCCCATTACCCTCATATTCCCATGCATATAGACAAGGAAAGAAGTAAAGCACAAGGCATAGCAACCCTTGGAGTCATATAGCTAGGCTAAATTGGCCAAAACAGAAACCCAAAGTGTGGTGTTATAAAAAAATGGTATTACAACTAGCACTTGGTTGCAAAAAATTATTTAAGGTTTTTGTTCTATTGGTTCTCTAGTTATTTTATTATACGCTCATGGGTATTTAGTCTGAATACCAAAGTGTGGTGATGCCAAATTTTGGTAGATCTATTATGGGCTTGTGGCAGCTTTAGTCACCAATGAAATGCACCAAAAATTCAAGAGGCTTGTTGCCATAGTGCCTCTACTCTTTTTTTTGTTCTTTTGATGAAACAATAGACAACACAAAATATGGTGTGTTATTGTTATTGCCCAACGAGGAGGGCAAGGCTACTGCATGTCATGATATCCGAAGAGGTAAATCAAATGTAGTCACATGCATGAGGTGTTCAATGACTTGTTATCCCATTGTGTGGTTTCTCAAATTTAGAGAAATAGCCTTGGTGCCATAATGTTAACCATGCACAATAATTTTCTTCTTATGCAACATCAAAACATTAGGTCCATTATAATCAACCATATTTGATCTTATTAACATAAACACCACCATGTCCATAGTGACAATAGGGTTACAACCATTCCATCTAGTAAATATAGTTTCGATGCCAAGGAGTTTATTTTGATATATGGTGCCAAATACTTATGTGTCTAGGTTCAACAAAGATTATTCCCTTGCACTTTAGAACAATACATTGACCCCCTATTTCCATTTGTGACAAAGCGGACCCACTTATCCCCAATAGAATAAACTTTCACCATTTATAGTGAAGTGGGCCCTCTTATCTTCAGCATAACGTTGAACCCACACATCTTTCCCTTTTATGATAAAGTGGACCCTCTTATCTCCATCGAGGATACTAAATAGTGTATTGGATGAGGAGAATATGATATGGGCACAAAGCGGATCAAGCCTTAGTCTTGGTTCCTCTATAACAATTTCTTCAACTTCTCCGTAGTTGCTGCAATGTGGGGAAAATATAATGCTAAAAGTTAGACAAATGCTTAAGTAATATGCATGCATAAAACAATATTTATTCATCAAATTTATATCAGGTAAATTGAAACATGGTCAAGTAGAATTTTTTTTTTGATGAAGCAGATATACTTATTGATACAAAGTAAAAATAACTACTTCGTACTGATAACAGAATGAATCTAGGTGATATAAACTAAATAAAAAGTATGATTTGGTACTACACATATCACCATTTTGCCTATCCTACCCTTTTATGTTCATATGTGTTTCCCTTGGGAAGTCTCAAGTCATATTTAGTTACAAACCATTCCACTTTTTGTAGTATTCCTCCATTTATTTTTTATAAGGCATGCACATATTTCAAGGTTCAAACCTATAATCTTCAACCAACATTCAAAATAAGAATTTGTCGATTAAGACTTACAACTTTTAAGATTGTATCATTAATACTTAAAAGTATTTTATATCATGAGTTTCAACTTTAAGGTATTGAACGATGCAATATAAGAGATATCAATGGTCAAAAGTATAGTGTTTTAGTGCAAATAGTCAAACCACGCCTTTTGTTTTGAAATAAGGGAGTATTTAAAAAGGCACAATGTTTGTAATACTATCCAACACCCCCATGAGATGTGTTTTCATTCTCTATATATAAACTATTCACCTTTGAACTTTAAAACTTAAGGATATAACTTAACCCCAAGGAGCAAAACATTCCAAATTAGGTGCTACCACTAATGATCAATAAAGGAGGGGATGTGAATACAAGATACTATGAAATGGAAACAACAAATAAATGAATCAACATGAATCATCTTTGAAGGATGATAACGATGTCACATGTTGTGAACTTCATCTTCAATTGTAATGAACTCAATTACAAGGATAGTTTGGACAATATCTCCATTCATATTTTAATTTGATAGGTATCATATTTTCCAAAAGATGGTGTTTGAGGTGCTTCAAATACAATGCATGCTACTGCTTAAAAAGATAAAACAATCAATGAAATGTTGCAATGACAAGGCATGCTTGATTTAGTGGCTTATGTCAAATAAATGTTGGCATGGTGTTGTGGAGGATTTCTTGGACTTCACATAAGTTATTTCAAGGAAGGGCCAAAGTTATATGAAAAATATATGAATCACAATTGTCCATGTAAAGTATGCATATGACAAAAAAGTTTATTATGGAATTATTGTTCTCTCCATTGTTGGCAGGCCATCTGGCCAACAATCTTCAAACATGTAGATGTTGATCTAGTGCACAAGAATTGATATTGTTTCACTAGTGGAAGGAATATTCAATATTGTTTTGTCTAAGAAACAAAGTGCATTCATGAATGCTAAAGTTTGAAACACACAAACTATGCTAACTAAGTTTGATTTGAGATAAAATGTTGATTTGTTAAAGAATGGGGCAATATTTTACAATATGGTAAGACTTTGGTCAAAATAGCACCTATGGTTCAAAAAGGCTGAGTTTTAGAAATTTATTGAGTAACATAGTGGTGAGCCAAGTGCAATTGAATCTTAGTGTAGAAGGAATTTTAGACAAACACGTTGCTTATCACAATTATTGTTTGGTTGTGTTATATGTTGATGAATGTCTACATGTATAAAGCTATGGGGATTACTTCGATCTAACAACCTAAGGGCTCTTATCATATATATTCGCTTTTGTGTTATTTTAATGTGCATATGACCTCTCATTTGGATGAAAATGTCTTATTTCAATGTCATCAAGGAAAATAGGTCATATAAAAATATGTTTATGCAAAGACAGAATATATTTTTTGAACCAATTAATATTTTTTTTGTATGGTAACTCTAAGTCCACCAATGAATAGAGATCTAATTCTACATATTTTATCATTGACGTCCTAAGTGTCATAACCATGGGTCCTATTAGCCCATGCAAAACCCCTATTATACTATTTTTCTACAAAAATATGTTCTTGTTTTCCATAATATCAATTTCAAAATTTTTTTATGACCAAGAGAAATATTTTTATTTGCTCCAGACAATGTTGAATATATATATTAAAAAGTAACCACCACAAACAAAACATAAATACCTTATATATGACAGTTAGTCTTTGGATCTGCTTCTCATTTTTTGACATGCTATTTAATTTCAAAGTACATAATTCTATAAACTTTAATGTTTACTTATTGTTTTCTCTTGCTATAGTTAACTACATTGTTGATAGGAATACCAATAAAGCCAATGATATATGGTTCCATATTAAATATTTCACCAAAATAACCATGCTCATTTTTTAATGTAAAACTTTGAACATGTGTAGGCTTAATATGGTTGAGAAGACCATGTTACCGGCTAAAGAAGTCATATAGTTCATCTTCAGTCAATGGATATGCATCAGATAAAATCACAAGCAGAGTTCTCTCTTCTTTTGGAATATTATTTGGCTGACATATGAGTTCCTGAAGAATTTGAAAGAAATTACTTAATCCAACATAGCAGTGAGTTTGGTACAACCATTAATTATTAATTGATCCCTCATGGGCATGATATAAAAACTAATTTTCCATCCTTACATCCACATTCTCTAACATTTCTTCAAGAAAGTTAGTTGACCAAGATAAAATTGTTGCCTCCTCTATAGTTTCAGGCATCTGAGCACTTGTGGCTTGACCTTGAGTGTTTTGGGCTTGACTAGAAGATTCATCCAAGTTGGTTACAATACCCTGCACATGGACATGATAAATCATGAATCTATTTATAAAAAGGGATTCTCCTTAAATACAACAAGAAAGTCATTGGTTTTCGGTGACAAATTTGATACATATATACCAATTGCATGGCTAGGATGTTTCTTGCTCTTATCATTCTTCTTTCCTAAAGACCTTGCTTACCACTTCTAGCAAGGTCTCATCATGCTCCCCCACCCTACACACCTCCAACTTTGGTGCATACTCTATTGTTAGGTCTATCACCACTACTAGTCATTGCACCACCTATTTTTCTCCTTAGTCATTAGCACCACCCACCACCCTTACCCAAAGCTCTTATACCCCATTTGGATGTTGATATTGGAGCCCAAAATTGTGAATTGGAATCATGTTTCTCGAATGTTGATGTTAGGATGTTTGTCGAATTGAGATTTGGCAATGGAGACCCATTTCCATGGTCTTGGACTATAACTAGAAGGGGCCTATCCTAATATAGAGACTAACCCCTTTGTATTGAGTGGAATTGGAGGACCTTGCCACTTGTCGTCTCCATGGCCGCTCACCTCCACCTAGCCTCCCACTTCCACCACCGGCCACCTCTGTTGTCGGCCACCTACACCAAAGGCCCTACTATCGATGCTTGAGCTTCTTCCCTAAGTCCTCACCTGCTTCTTCCTCAATGGATGATGGACACATCCTTAGCTACTTCTTCCCCAAGTTTGGCCACCAGATCCGCTTCTTTCCCAAGTCTGGCCACATCCGGATCCTCTTCTTCCACAAGTTCGGCCACCAGATCTACTTCTTCCCTAAGTCCTCTGCTCCTTGGCGGCAGAACAGATGGAAGGCATGGAGACAATGGGCTCTTCACCCCTTGGAGGTAGCGATGATGTGCTCTTTGTCTCCCTGGCGGCGATGGAGGTGGATATGCTTCCCCGTGCTCGATCTTGTCCCTACCTTCAGAGCCACAGGGGCATAGCCACATAGGGCCATGGCCGGGGATGGAGAGGGTCACGAATCCATAGTTGAGCGTGAGGAGAATGCAAGGAAGCTAGCAAGGTGGCCTCCCACCATACGTCACCACGCATCCCGTGAAGTAGCCGTATTCCCAATTTGATGAGATCTACAGCCAAACATGATTTGGTATTTGCCATCTCACTAGATTCTAGATAACAATTTCATCTACATCCAAACATACGAGTTGGTATTATAGCTCATTTCCATTAATAGTCTGATTTGGCATTGGTACCCAATTCATTGCTAGTCCTCCAATATCTACATCAAACTGACCCTTAGAGAAAGTTCCTTTCCTCCTAGCACCACCACATCATTGTACAACATCAGATATACTCTGCACTCCCATTAAATCCAACTTTGATCGAGATCAGCAAATCCTAACCTCTAACCCATGAAACCCTAAACATCACCTAGGATTATTTGTTAAGATTGAGATTGAGTAGTAATCTTACCAGTCTAACACAAATTTCTTCCATCAGACGTTCATCATGATCTTGAGCATATTCATAGATTAATTCTTGGATCTCAAATTCTTCAAGTAGATCTCCTAGGGCCTCAGAGCAAATATTGTTGAGGTAGAAATCAATTCTTTCAATAACTTCTTTTGCACCGGGAGAGCTGCTATTTGTGTCACCCGATACAAGATGAACAAGGTCAACAACAAATTTTCTCATAGAATCAACCATAACCAAGATATGGTACTCATTAAATGCATTTATGCATTCAAAGCAATCAACATAGCCATCTTCTTCAGCAAACATCAAAAAGGCGATTGTCAATACTGCAAGAAATGGATCAAATCAATAGAAAACAACATGCGGAAGAACAATCGACGAACTTTCTTGAGGTAGGGATGAGAAGCCATGGATGCTAGGGAAAGAAAGAACTAGGGGAGAGAACTGGTGATGTACTACTAGGTCCTTCACCGATTAAATAAACATCAAGAAGTTGTGTCTAGGATGCTTTCAAGATATTTTATAATATATAACCGTTCAAGGTTGAGTGAAGAAAACAAGTTGCCAGCAAAAGATATTAATAACGGTAGGCCTTTACTCATTAAAGATGCCTTGTTTTTAGCATACCTGCCAAAGCACCTTAACAACTTTTGGCATACAATACCTTACTATAGTGTGTGGCTACTAGTTGTATACAATCATTAATTGTAAAAATGACTAATGTGAAAAATGGCACCCACCAAACACATAGAGCATCTCATGTGCACTCCTAGACCAAAAGTTTAGGAATCAGACTTTCTCATGTGGGCTAGAAACTCTAATTCAACACACAGATGTACGGTTGGGGTGTATGTTGTTGACGATCATTATTAATAATTATAAACCATCAAAATGCCTTGAATTCATCTTTAAAATCAATCACCAACATAGGACTAGTGGTTTAAACTAAATATTTCCATGAGTTTTGGTGATTTTGTGAATACAGGAGGATTTATTTAGAAAACAGGCTAAATTGGTCATACTATCACAAGAAATCAGATACATCCACATTGAAACCAACTCCATTGGGCTCTAATCTATAGTTCATTGGCCAAAGAAGGAAGTCCACATGGATGGGAACCCTAGTGGGGTTGGCCAACCCCACCTGTAGGTCGACCAACCCTCCCTAGCCCATCTTTCAGCTCTAGTCATCTCTAACTAACCTTGGGGATTAATCTACACTATTTATTTAATTTAGTTTGAATGGAGGGACGAGATTAAGTCGTGCCATGGATTCATGGGGCTCACCAGGAGCCTGGTGCCCTCTATAAATGGAACCTAGACCCCTTTAGAAAGGCATCCTAATTCATTCAAAGATCCGGTTCAGAAGAGAAGAGTAGATATCTAATTATCATTATTTCTAGTATAGTTTAGCTTAAGTAAGATTCAAGTAAATTCGGGCTATCGCTTGGGGTTTCGGATTCATCTCTAGAAGACTTGATATAGCCATTGTATCTTTTAGATATCTTATTGTGACTTTGATCTTAATTTATATTATGTTTCTCTTTATCATGTTCCTAGTTTACTTTGAGTACATGCATGATATAGTTATAGTTATCTTTAAGTTTATACATAAGATCATAGAGCGCTCAATTCAGTACTCGAGTGAGTTGAGTGGCGAACTCTATGTAAGCGTGGTGCTTATACATTGTTTTGCCTGTGGATGCACCCTCCATTCCGGGTGTGGTAGATCCACGTGGGTTACAACCTCATTGATCCTCTATATTCCACCCCGTCTGTATGACTAGCAGGACTTATGTCATGACGGAGAAGTCATATTTATTATGCTTCTCCTAAGAGATGTCCCTTATGCATAGATGAAGAGTTAATTATTGCTATAGAGTGTATATGCTTCTCGTATACTAAGACTTGTTGATTAGAAATAACTTAGGAATCTTTCTCTTGATTATTACTTAATCTAGCTATGCTACATTTTTAGTATCTATATCTATCTCTGAGTTGTCATACACTTATATTATAAATATCTTAAACTTATCCATGTTTAGAGTAAGTGTTTAGTTAGTGATTTCATCATAAATATATATTGATCAATATCTTCCTTGCCATTGTTCCTCGTAGTGGTAAAAAAATAAATAACGATACCTAGAATACTCTAGGTGAAATGCTACAGTGGTATATCTGTGGGCTTGTAAAATTCTTAATTTCTAACTCACACTAATAAATACCAACATATGTCAATGAAGATAATTATTGTACTTCTATAGCAACAAACCCCTAGTTTCTCAACAATATAGTAAAGGGTATCCACTACTACAGATTGACTTATCACTATCGCCACTTTCACTGCCTTAGCAATAGAAGCGACTGTGTTTTACTTCTACCACCGGTTGGACCGATAGCGAGGCCTCCTGAGGAAGGAAACTGACAGTTGAAACTTCTACCACCGATGGGTTAACAATAGATACGGCAGTGGTATTTTCTCAATCATATGAAAAGCCGAGCCGATTGGGATACGTGTTATGGCCGCCGGCCCTCCACGACTGTTTCGTCTTCCGGTGGTAAAGTCAGCGTGAGTTATTTCCCAACTACCAACAACACAGTTGCATCACCATTACTTGCACTTCTCCATCTTCAAGGTTGGCCTATTTAACTAGGATCTAGATGCACCTCTTGGGCTCAATCCACACACTCTTGAATCCACATACTCGTGAGCTATTATATCTTTCCTCATCGCGAAGAAGTGCTTTGTCCTCATCCTTGCACCTCTCATGGCCTCCTAGCCATGAGAGGTGCAAGATGGAGATAAAGCACCTCATAGGGATGCTAGTGTTTTGAGAAGGCCTTCAAGATTTGGTGCTTTAGATTCCATAATCTTGTTGCCTTTCAAGATCAAGATGCAGATTTGCATCCCTCGATCCTCAAAGGTAGCAAGATTATGGAATATAGAGCACCTCACTGAGATGCTGGTGCAAGTTTTGTGGGTGCTCCTTCTCCATCCTTTACGAGGTGCTACCGTTAAACAGGAGCTTGACCTTGATGATTGCAGATCTTGTTAAGAGAAGATCTTCAATCATCTAGTTCTCTCCTGTTCTAGGGCTCCATACTCGATTGGGGGTGCTTCAAGTTTGCAAGGTGCTCATTCTTCAACATTGGGTGCTTTATATTCCATCTTGTAGCTCTCATGGTTAAGAAGCATATCACATCCCTTGACTATGAAGGTTGCAAGATGGAAGGTAGAGAACCTCACTGAGGTTTAAGTTTTGCAATTTGCTGCGTCATTCTTTAGATTCCATAATCTTTATTCCTCGGAGAATATGTTGCTTTGTATGTGCAAACCGCCGTATGATATGGATCTATTATCGCATAGACCTCAATGGAAAATACATAAAGAAGTACTACCAAAGTATTTAATTTGGGTCGATGCTTGATAGTCGAGTCTCATTGGCTCAAAATAGTTGACACCTAGAGTATTGCCTTTAGAACAAAAAATAACAATAAAAGACATAGGATGAAAAGTGACATTCAAATAGGAGATTGTTTACTTATAACTTATAAGACCCTAGATATAATCTATGGTCCTAAGAAAATATTGTTTACACCATCTTGTGCATGGATGGTCACTGCGATAGCCTTGGCAGCATCAGTGAAGTCTCCAATCAGGTCCTCTTGATCTTCTAGCCGATTAGTGTCCGGAAAGCTAGGTTCTAGGTGACAGAGCTCGTGCCTTGAACGTAGTTCCACTGCAGCAAGAGCGGCACCAGCACCATAGCGGACACCATGAGTTGCCACTTCTCGGCACAAACCGGGATATCCTGTAGGCGATCTTCAAGAGAAACACCCTTAGCGTTGACTGCTGCAACTGCGCCAAATGTTGCATGTTGGAGGGTTTTGTGGTGATTCTCTAGGTTGATCTCCCAGCGATGAGCCTCCTTGATCTCATGACAAGAAGCAGCCAATTGTTCCTCAAGATCTAATGAAAATGAAGGGTTACTGGATAAAGTTGTGAATATAAAAGCAAAGACTATTCAAAGAAATTTTACCTGTTGCCCTAGCATGAGCTTCATCAGCCCTCATCTGAGCAACATTGGTCTCTTCTTTAGATGTAGAGAGGGTTGTTTTAATAGCATCAAGACATTGCTCGAGCCGACCTACCTCAAGCGTGGCTTCAGAATATAGGTTTTCGGCCTCCCTCCTTTCATGGATAAGATTCTGGATATCCTAACTCGACTCGAAGGTTGAAGATGAAGATGAAGATACCATGGACCCAGCAAGATGTACAATCCATTGTTTTCCAACCTCCACCAGAGTTGGTCGATGTACCATAGCATGAGAGGTAGCACTGCATATTCAAAGGATTAATGCAAGGCAACCATAGAAATATGAAATCATTCCCTCTCACCCTTGGCGACGAAGAGGGACACAAAGGCACGGAGGTGGATCCATGGCTTATGGAGTTTCCTCCCTTGGACGCTTGTCATGAGACATTATTCAGAAGAAGACTAGAAGGAGAAAACAAAGAAGAAAAAGATGTGTCATAGCACAACAAATGAACACAAGCAATATTCCTTCTACTCCGCCTTGCCTCCAAATTTTTATAGCCCTAAGGGACAATGGGTTCATAAAAAATTTGGGGGCATGTGTTCACATCAAAACTTATTCCAAAATTTGGAGGCATGTGTTCACACCAAAATCTGGGAAGATGCATAGTAAGCCCAAAACTTAGGGAAGCGTGCGTGAGTGTTGAATGTCGTCCAAACTTTCAACATCGTCCCCATCACTTATTACATTAGGAACCATCGTATACCTCGTCTTCCCTAATGCATGCTCCCTAGATCATGCATCTTAACTGCACTGAGTCTGGGTGCATCTTCAAGGTTGACATATTTAAGTGCGTGAGTGTTGAATATCCCAACTTTGATTCTAATACCGTCCCCACCACTTATTACGCTGGGAACCATCGTATACCTCATCTTCCCTGATGTGTGCTCCCTAGATCATGCATCTTAATTACACTGAGTCTGGGTGCATCTTTCAAGGCTGGCCTATTTAAGCTGGGTCTAGGTGCACTGAGTCTCCACCCCTACCCTCCCACCAAATCCCTTAGCATTAGACTGAGAGAGTGGCAACTCCTTTTGTCCACCATGATTCATGGTGTACTTCGGTGGCTCTGCCGTTGTTGGGAGAAAGCTTTCAAGATTGGGTTCTGTAGTGGCCTGCTGGTGGTGATTCGTCTTGGGTGTTAGAGGAAGTTACGCGAAGAGATGGGGAAGAATAATACCATGTTCGGTGGCCCGGGTCATCGATGA